CCTCCCCCCTGCCTCGCCTCCTCGTCTCCGCTCGGGGCGCCGAGGCGCCTCGGGGGGCGGGGCGGGGCGGGGCGCCTCTGGCGGGCGGCGGGAGGCGAGGGATGGAAAGGGCCAACCAAAAAAACGGCTCTGGGGCAGCGCGGGCACGCTGGCTGGCAGCTGTGCAGCGCGACTCTCTCTCTCTCTCTCTTTCTATCTCTCTCTCTCTCTCTCTATCGCTCTCTTTCTCTCTATCTCTCTCTCTCTCTCTCTGTATCTCTCTTTATCTCTCTCACTCTCTCTCTCTCTCTATATATATATATGTGTGTGTGTCTCACTCGTTCTCTATCCCTCTCTCGCTATCTCTCTATCTCTGTTTTCTCTCTAAACATATATATATATATACACCCATCTCTCTCTGCCTGTCTCTCTTTCTCTCTCTCTCTCTCTCTCTCCCTGTTTCTCTCTCTCTCTCTCTCTCTTTCTCGCTTCCTCTGTCTCTCTCTCTCTCTCTCTCTATTTCTCTGTCTGTCTCTCTCTCTCTCTCTCTCGCTTTCTCTCCCCCTCTCTCGCATGTTCGCTCGATCTCTCCCTCCTTCCCTCCGTCCCTCTCTCTCCCTTCCTCTCTGACTATCCCTCTCTCTCTCTCTCGCTTTCTTTCTCTCGCTCTCTCGCTCTCTCTATTCATGCCTGTCTGCATTTCTCCCTCCCTCCCATGCCATGGTCCATCTCGCTTCCCCCATCTCATCTCTTCCTCCTCCTCCTCCTTCTGCACCTGGGAACCCGACACGGGCGCCATGAGAATCCCCCGCACGGGCACTGCGTTCCGACGGCCTGCGAGCCCTCCGTGGATGCTGCCGCCTTCCCTCCTCCTCCCCAGCTTCCGCCAGCTTCCGCGCTCCCTCCCGTCTCCTCTTGGCCTGCAGCGGCTGCTCCTGCCTCCAGCCTCCTTGCCTTTAGGTCACGAAAAATAAAAAGATACCCAAGCAGTACCCCCAAAACATGATTCGAAAACGGTCACAAACTTGTCCACATACTATTGCTGGCATATGTTTGAACATTCCCCCTGTAGAGGGACAGGCCCGACCTAATCCTGCTTCCTTGCTGCTGCTGCTCATCCTGCCACCCGACGCTGCTGCCCCAGCTCCCCCGCTGCCGCGCCGCCACCGCTGCCTCTTCTTCTCCCCATCCCCCGTGCCAGTCCCCCCCCCGCATGTACACCCTCTGCCTCCTCCTCTTTCTCCTCCTTCTCCTCGCTGTCGTCGTCGTCGTCGTCGTGCTCATCCCCCTCGTCCAGGGCGAGCATTACGAGGACGGCGAGGGCGAGTCGTCCTCGCCCTCGTCGCCGTCGTGAGCGTGGTCGTGGTCATCGCCCTCGCCGCCGTCGTCGCGGCCGCGGCCGCGGGCGCAGCCAGGCACCGCGGCGGGCGCGCCGCTGCGCGCGGCAGCCGGGCGCGCGAGGAGACCTTGTCCAGGTCGTCGAAGCCGAGGTCGTCCCACTTGGTGGCGGGCGTGACTTCCCCGTCGAGCAGCTGCGGCGCGGCAGAGGCCCGGGGTGCCGCGGGCGGCGGGGGCAGGACGGGGCGGCGGCGGCGGCGGGGAGCGGGCCGCGGCGGCGGGGCGGGAGGGCCGCGGGCGCAGTCTCGAGGCGGGCGGGCGCCCAGAGGCTGCCTCGGCCTCGCGCCGGGGGTGGCCCCGTAGCAGGAGCGGCCCGCGGCGCGCGCTTCTCGCCACTCGGCGGCCCGCGAGGCGGGAGATGCGGCCTGCGCGCGTGGGGATCCCAGGCCCCCCGCGCCCGCCCCGCGTGAGGCCGCGCACTGCGGCGGCGGCGGCTCCTCTTGCATGTGCAGTCGGACCCAAGCCATCCTGCAAGAAGGTGAGGGCCTCCGCCGGCCAAGACAAACAGAGCATCCAGGGATACCCCCCCAGGATGCACAAGAGTAGCAAGCAGGCACGAAGAGCATCAGCGCACGAGGATGCCCTACCCGAGACGACCTCGATGCTATACCTCGGTCCGAGAGCACCAGTCAAGATGACACTCAAGACCCGATCCCGCCTGAGTGTTTTTGCATAGTAATATTTATCCGATCGACCTGAGATCGAAGATGGCGAGCAAGAATCAGATCGAAGATGGGGAAATGTTAAAGCTCTAACAAATGGTTACGTGTTGAGAACATATTTGGGCGCGCCAATCCTTGCCAGGGACCAGGATCGGTGGATCGGTGGGCCCGCGAGTAGCTGCGGCGTGGCAGACCTCGGCAGGAGAACGACACACAGACACACACACACACACACACACACACACAAAAAAACACACACACACGCGCACACACACGCACACACACACACACACACGCACGCACACACACACACACATACACATACACACACACGCACGCACGACACACACACACACACACACACACACACACACACACACACACACACACACACGCACGCACGCATGCACGCACGCACGCACGCACGCACGCACGCACGCGGGCACGCACGCACGCACGCACGCACGCACACACGCAAACACGACATACTTAGCAATCGAAGCCCTGAGGTCCGCGCGGGCTTCCCGGGTCGGCGCTGCACCTCCTGGCGACGCCTCGGCCGCGTTCCGCGCGCCTTGGATGGGTTGGGGGGGGGGGGCTCAGCACCGACCCCGGAGATACGCGAGGAGCTCCGAGTGAAAGCATGCTTCTGTAGCTGTCTGTTCTGGCCTCCGTCGGAGGATGATGTGGACGAGGGGGAGGGGCAGGAGGGGTCGAGCGGCCTCTGGGGGCAGTGTCGCCACCAAGGGCATGCGCTGCGGCACCCTCGGGCTGAAGACGGAGGACCGCGCGACACGTGCGCAAAAGGCATCAGCCACACTCGGCCAGACGGTCCGCAGCCGCAGCCTGAGGTTCAGTCGGGCGTGTCCCTCTACAGGGTGAATATTCAACAATAGTCAAAACATAGTCGGGGGGCTATGTTTCGATCACTGTTTGACTATGTGTGGGTGTTGTGTTGCACGTGTTGTTCTATGTGTCACCCCAAAATCCGCCTGTATGGGGGGCAGGCCCGAACTAAGCCCAAGAGGAAGCAGGTCGGGGTTTGCTGGAGGTGCCCCTGGCCCGAGGTGGCCACAGCGATTCGCCCAGTGTGGGAGCACCTTGGGGTCCTCTTGGGCTTCGGGAGGGATGCCCTGCAGGCCGCGGGGCCCTCCGTAGAACTCCTGAGGAGGAGGAGAGGAGGAGGAGGAGGAGGAGGAGGAGGAGGAGGAGGAGGAGGAGGAGGAGGAGGAGGAGGAGGAGGAGGAGGAGGGGAACGAGGAGGAGGAGGGCACCTTGGGCCAGGGACACTTCCAGCAGCACCCAGGCACGAGGGGGTGGCGGCGCCTATGGCGGAGATCCGCGCGCCAGGGGAGGGGGGCCTCGTCGAGCCCCTGCCGCGCGGCAAAGGCCACGGCGGCTAGTCTCGAGCAGGGCGGGCGACGGCGGCACGCCCGCGCGCCCAGCTGCTGGCCCAGCGGCGGGCTGTTGCTGAGGACGCCCGAGCCCGCTACTGCTGCTGCGGGCTGCGGGGCGGGCCTGGCTGGCGCTGCTGCTGGCGGGGGCGCCGGCCGGCGCGGCACTGCTGCTGCTGCTGCTGCTGCTGCTGCTGCTGCTGCTGCTGCTGCTGCTGCTGCTGCTGCTGCTGCTGCTGCTGCTGCTGCTGCGCGGCGGCCCGAAGGCGCTGGCCGCGGCGCGGACGCTGCGACGACGGCCGCGGGGAGGGGAGGCCGCGGGCGGCGCTGGCCTGCCTGGCGGGCTGGCGGGCTGGCCGGCGGGGGTCCTGGTCCCCGGCATGCGAAGTGTATAGGCCCCGGCCATCGCACCCCTGCCGCCTCGGGGGCGGCTCGCCGCCGAGCGGTATAGGTTGCGCCGCAGCTCCCGACTATAGAGCGCCGGCCGCGAGAGAGGCCCGCGCGCGCCGCCGGAGGAGGAAGAGGACCTCCCCATCCTCCCTTATCCCCCGTCGTGCATATGGTAGAAGTGGTGCAAGATTTGCCCACCATGTCTGGCCCCTACCGACGATGAATCGGCGCTTGGGGTGGTGCATCCCCCCCGATCCGATGCCTCCCAAACGTTGCCCCTGGGTTCCCGGGCCATAGCTGGGGCCTCCGAGGACCGCTCGAGTCAATCTGGGCACCCCAAATCCAGCGCCAATCCAAGAAATCCGTGCAAAACTCCGAAGGCTGATGCTTGGAATCCGCGTGTATGGGGTCACCAAAGATCTGGGCCACAATCGAACCCCCTAGACTCTGAGGTGCCCCCTGGCCTGAATTCCTAGCTGGACCCGTCCACAGCCACGAGTGGCCTGGGCGCCCACGGTATACGCTCCCACACGCTAAAAAACCTTGCTCCTGGATACTCGATCTTGGATCCTCGACCCTGGGCCCTGGATCCTGGGCCCTCGACCCTGGACCCTCGATCCTGGATCCTCGATCCATGGGCCCTCGATCCAGGGCCCTCGATCCTGGTTCCTCGATCCTGGATCCTCGGTCATGGGCCCTCGCTCCTGGGTCTTCGACCCGGGATCTCCTCGATCCACTCCTACCTCCCCGAGAGCACCCCCCGTGGCCGGAGCGCCGCGGAGGCGCCCGAGGCTCGAGGCTCGATCGCAGCCCAGCGGCATGAGGCGGGCGGGCGCGCGCGGACGGGCCGCGAGAATCTTCTCCTTGTCGGCCGCCTCGCCCTCGTTCTGGAGCTCCCCCTTGCGGACCTCGGCGTACCTCCGAGGGCGGCGGCGGCTCGCGCACCCGCGGACAAGCAGCTCTACAGTCGGACTGGAACATGATAACAATCCTCCTCATCCTCCTCCTTCATCCCTCCACTCTCCGCAAGACTCCTTCCTCCTCTTGCTCCTGCTCCTGCTCCTGCTGCTCCTCCTCGTCCTCCTCGTCCTCCTCGTCCTCCTCATCCTTTTCCTCCTCCTCCTCCTCCTCCTCCTGTTTTTCATCCTCCTCTTCCTCTGCCTCCTCCTCCTCCTGCTCCTCCTCCTCCCCTCCTCCTCCTCCTCCTCCTCCTCTTCCTCCTCCTCCTCCTCCTCTTCCTCCTCCTCCTCTTCCTTCTCCTCCTCTTCCAACTTATCCTCCTCCTCCTCCTCCTCCTCCTCCTCCTCCTCATCCTCCTCCTCCTCCTCGTCCTCGTCCTCGTTCTCCTCCTCCCCATTCTCTTCCTACTCTTCATATTCCTCCTCCTCCTCGCCCTCGTCCTCGTCCTCGTCGACGTCGTCGGAAAAAAACGGGCTGGGGCTCATCTCTTGCTTCTTGGTCAAGCCCGCTGCTCGGGCCATCAAGAGGATGGCGATTATCTCGTTCGTTCAGGCGGCCCTCCTCTCGGGCATGGAGGCGCGCGTCCCCGACGCCTCCTATTGCGAACTGGCGGACAGGGTGCTGCTTCTAGCCATGCGTCGGGGTCTTGGCCTCCAGGGGACCACCAAGGGCGATGACGGGGAGATCCGCAGATGGCCATCAAAAAATGTCTGGGAGTATTGGAAGATATTGCCGGCTTCGGAGGAGCTTCGGGTGCGTCGTCTTGGTTGGCTCCAGAGTTGGGCTCGCTGTCCAGAGGCACATCGTCAGGTCAGAGCGTGTATCCTGGGGTCCATGGGGAGTTTCGACACGATCAATCCCGACTGGACCCTCCACGCGAAGGCCAACCCTTGGGCACGGCAGATCCTGGAGGACCTTAGGTACGCCCACGAGCATTGTGAGGACTTCTACATGCTAGTCCCCTCGGGTTACCCCTTGCTGAAGCTGCTTTACATTGACGAGTTTAGGGACTGGGCCTTCGTGGACTTCACTGTCCTGCGTGCTGCGGCCTACTCTAAGACTTTCGCCCCTCCAGAACACCTTCCTGAGGCTCCCGAGGTTCCTGAGACCGAGGAGGAGACGGCCCCTGAGGGCCAGCTCGTCTGCAACATGGTGCTCACCACGGGCGCCAAGTGTAACGAAAAGTTCAGCTCCATGAAGGCGCTCCTCCTTCATGCTGGTCGGGCCCACCGCGTTCGAAATGAAGCCGCACTTTTGACAGTGACCAACCAATGTGTTAGATGCTTACAAGTCCTGAGCACAAAAGAGAACGCGGAGAGGCACGCCATGAGATCGTTCAAACGAAATGTATGCAGTCGTGGGAGGAGCTCTTTCTTGTCGCAAGATGTCCAGATCCCCAGCGATCTTCAATGTCCTGTTATGTAGTCATGGGGCTCAAAGTCTTTATGAGCTTCAGGTACATGTTCGCTCTCATTGTTCCGCACCTCAGCCTGAAGTCAGACACAGTCGGCAACATGTCGCAGGCGGCGGCGGGATCAGTGCAGGACGTCAACATGATGGACCTCAACGCGCTGATCGAGCTCGGCAAACGCAGAGAGGCCCCTGGTGGCGAAGGCGGAGCACGCGGACCCAAGGGGCGCAGGGTGGCAGAGGCAGCGGACGAAGCCGAGGACACACGGAAAACCGAGTGGAGAATGCGCTCCGCGGAGAAGACGTCGCAGCGGCGCTGGCCCTCCTCCTCCTCCTCCTCCTCCTCCTCCTCCTCCTCCCTCCTCCTCCTCCTCCTCCTCCTCCTCCTCCTCCTCCTCCTCCTCCTCCTCCTCCTCCTCCTCCTCCTCCTCCTCCTCCTCCTCCCCCTGCCTGCACTCGCAGCTCCTCCGCGACCTGGCGGCGGTGGTCTGGGCCAGGCGTGATTCGTCCGACACTGTCGCCGATGATCGAGGCTTCCAGGGCCGCTGGGAAGCTTTACGCAGAGGCAGCTGGGCTCCCCAACGTGAAGGGCAAGCTGGGTCCGCCACATTTACACATTGCGCGCGCAGGGTTCAAATGTCTGGTGGAAGCAGAATCGAGTCTCAAGATTGGTGGCGAGGCGCTGGAAATGATACGCCTATTCTACGCCAAGTTCATACAAAGCGGACGGATGCAAGAGCTCGGATTATCGATCCGACACTTCCGCTACAAGAAATGAGGCAAGGGCAACAGCAAGAACACGTCATGAATGCAGACGCCTGGCAGACACGACTGGCGGCGTTGAGAGCTCGTATCGCGGCAAAAGAGACGGCTTCCAAATCCTAAGCTCGGCTTAGGTTCAGTCGTCGCCACGCCGCTGGATGGCGGATGCTGTGATTTCTCCTCTTTTCAATGGGATGTGTTTGTACACATGCTGTTCGTGAACTGGCTGCTCACGGATCCCGACCACGCCCAGCTGACCTCCACGGCAGGCCTCAGTGACCCAGATCGTAACCTCCTGCTCTGGGCCTGATTCGCCGCGATGGGCATAATAATGGACGTGATCGGCTATGTGAGGCCCCAGCACCTCCCCTTTGAAGCCTCGCCCGCCGTGCCCGACCAGGCGGGTGTGTCCGCTTCGCTTTGTGCTTCAGTACAGTCGACTCCCTTCTCATTTAGGTTCGACGCTCCCCGAGGGCCCACCCCGACGTCTGCCTATCGGACGCCTGCGGGGCCCAAGTGTCAGGTGTTGTGCGGGCCCCGCGGGGGTGCGTCCGAGCCGACCGTACATGTTTAGATTTGTTTTATAGTGTTTTTCCAGGGCTGGGTGGATGCCTCGGGAGCCTGCCTGGCACACACAGTGCCGCGAGGTTTCGCACCCCTCGGGGCCAGAGGGGTGTCCCCCCCCAGCCCGCGTGTGACACTGAATCTTGCGAACAGCCCCGATACACACGTGTCGAGTGCTGCACGGCGCGCGTAACCCGTAACCTCGTATAGTAGATATGCGATTGTTTGAGGTTGTAGTTCTGCACGCCTATCACACCAAGTGTAGAGCTGCATCACCCCAGCACACGCGCAAGGCCGAGTCCTATCCTATCCTATCCTATCTCCCTCCTCCCTCCTCCTCCTCCTCCTCCTCCTCCTCCTCCTCCTCCTCCTCCTCCTCTTCCTCCTGCTCCTCCTCCCCCTCCTCCCTCCTCCTCCGCCTCCTCCTCGACCTCGTCCTCGTCCTCGTTCTCCTCCTCTTCTTCCTCCTCCTCCTCCTCATCCTCCTCCTCCCCCTTCTCCTCCTCCTCCTCCCCCTCCTCCTCCCCCTCCTCCACCACCCTCCTCCTCCACCTCCTCCTTCTCCTCCTCCTCCTCCCTCCTCCTCCTCCTCGTCCTCCTCCGCCTCCTCTCCTCCTCGTCGTCCTCCTCCTCCTCCTCCTCCTCCTCCTCCTCCTCCTCCTCCTCCCCCTCCCCCTCTTCCTCCTTGTCCTTGTCCTCGTCCTCCTCCTCCCCCTCTTCCTCCTCCTCGTTCTTCTCCTCCTCCTCGATCGCCTCCTCATCCTCCTCCACCTCTTCCTCCTCCTCGTCCTCGACTTCGTCCTCGTCCTCATGTTCGTTCTACTCCCTCTCCCCATCCTCCTTCTCGTCCTCCTCGTCTTCCTCGTCCTCCTCTTCTTCCTCCTCCTCCTCCTCCTCCTCCTCGTCCTCATCCTCTCCTCCTCCTTCCTCGTCCTCCTCGTCTTCCTCGTCCTCCTCGTCCTCCTCGTCCTCCTCGCCTCATCGTCCTCGTCCTCCCCCTCTTCCCCCTCTGGTTCTCCTCCTCCTCCTCCTCCTCTTCCTCCTTCTCATACTCCTCGTTATCTTCCTCCTCGATCGCCTCCTACTCCTCCTCCTCCTCCTCCTCCTCCTCCTCCTCGTCCTCGTCCTCGACTTCGTCCTCGTCCTCGTCCTCATTCTCGTGTTCGTCCTACTCCCTCTCCCCATCCTCGTCCTCCTCCTCCTCCTCCTCGACCTCCTCGTCCGCCTCGTCTTCCTCGTCCTCCTCGTTCTCCTCGTCCTCCTCGTCCTACCCTCTGCTCCTCCGTGCTTGTCTTCCTCGTCCTCCTCGTCGTCGTCCTCCTTGGCCTCCTCGGCCTCCTCCTCCTCCTCCTCCTCATCCTGCTCCTCCTCCCTCTTCCTCCTGGCAAGGGCGCAAAATCTTTGAACGCCCACAATGAGCTGTTCTGAGCGGCATACGGCAGCAAACCTCGGCGACGCCCACGCCGTGCTCGTCGGCGACCTGAATTGCAGCCTTGCCGGCGCAGGTCTGGACAAGGTGCTGGCCATGGCGGGCTGGCGTGATCTTTTCGGGGCCGAAAGGCCCACTTGCATAACTACCCTCGCAAGGCGAACCGTCGCGCATCCACCACACATACTCGAACGAGTCCGCCGCGGGGATGGTCACCCAGATCGGCCTGCGCCAGGACCTCGGCCTGGCGATGCACGCGGCGCTGACAATCCAGGTCGAGCTGCCAGGGCTGGCCCTTTTGTCCGTCAGTCGGTCGCCAAGATGGACGGGCCGGCAAGCGCCGCCCGGTCGGCAGCCTCGGCGCGACGCTGCGACAACAAGCTGTTTTGACGAGCCTTTCCGGAAGGCCCTGCGCTCACCCGACTTGAATGCAACTGCGGGAGCATCTCAGCCAGGCCGCGCGGACATGGTCGGCTACACGGTTGGGTGCTGCGGCTGCCCCTGCCCGTGCACATGCTGCTGCCGCATTGCTGGCTGAGCGACCGGGGCAGCCGGCGGCGACGGGCAGGCGGCTTGCGCTGCTGTGGACGGAGCCTCGCTGAGGTTCCGCTGACTGCGGTCGCTCCAGCACGCGCTCCAGCGCTTTTCGGCCTCAGATGGTCGAGCTGCAGCGGGCGCGCTCCAGGCTCTGCGAACGTCGGCCGCTGGCGATGCGGGCTGGGAGGCTGCCTTGGCGGCCGCGCCTCTGTCGGGGCCGCTCGCGGACGCGCTGATGGAGCGGGCGGGAGCGGAGTTGCGGCTGGCGCAAGCAGCTCTGCGCGCCCGGCAGCGGGCTGAGTGGCGCCAGTGGGTCCACGACTCGCTGAGGAACGGCCGCGGTCGGCTGGGCCGCTGGGTCCGCTGGGCTGCTGTTAGCGAAGCCTGGCGGCGTCGAGGGGCCCCTGGTGCGTCGGGCAACATGGCTGCCGTAAGTCCTCTAGAATCTAGGTAGCAGGGCGGGCGCGTGCCTCCGCGCATTGGCGGCGCAGCTGGGGGGGCGACAAGCGGCGGCGCGGCGCGGAGGAGCTGGCAGCTGGCGCGGGGGCTGGCCCTGCCGAAGCTCGAAGCAGCGGAGGTACTCTCCGCAAGACATCGACGGCGCGGCCCTGGATTGGCGCAAGGCGCGCGACCCAGTGGACTTGCGCCGCGCGCCCCGCCTGCTGGCCAACGGCGGGGGCCCCGCCTTTGATGACCGGCCCGGAGTGCGCTGCAGACGCGGCCCGCCGCCGGGTCCGCGCCGGGAGGGCCATCGGGCTACTGCAATGGGCGCCGATGCGAGGCTTGCTGCCCAGGTGCCCCCTGGCGGCGTTCATCCCAGCGATCCTCTCTCGACCGTGGGCGCGCCGCGCGGGCCGGATCAGCGACCTGCATGGTCAACAAGAGAGCTTACGCGGGCGACTTCGCGTCGCGCGCCCGGGCGGCAGCGGGCGAAGGCGGCGTCGCGGCGGAGGAGGTCTCGGGCCCACCAAGAATTTCGAGGCCGCAATGGGCTGGCAGCTCAATCGGGAGAAGAGCCGCGGATTGGCCAACAGCCTGGCCCCGCGGCAGTGGCTTGGCCATCAGACGCTCGGCAAAGCCGCGCGACCTGTCCTCTGCGAGCTCAGCGCGGCGGCGCTGCGCTGTCTCGGCGTCTCGCACCCTCCCCGCCCAGTGCCGCTCCGCGAGACTCGGGCGTCTTCCCCTCGGTTTCAAGCGCCGCTGCGAGCTCGGCGCAGCGGCCGGCGCGGCGGCCAGCCTGCGCGGCGCCTCCTGCGGTCGGCCGCCTGCGCGGGAGCTGGCCGGGCTGCGCCAGGGGGCGCGGCAGGCGGTCTGCCGCGGCCGGCATCGGGCAGCCGCCGAAATCGTTTCGGCGTCCTGGCGCGTCCTGACCCGGCAGCGGTCATCGCGCCGCTGCGGCAGGTTGCGAAAACCCTCCGCCGCGGCCGCTTTCCCGCGGAGCTGCGGGCAGAGGCCGACGGCGCCGTGGCCGCGGGACACGGGCAGGACACGGGCGCTGCAGCTCGGCACCGACGTGACGCGCCGGGCAGGCGTGCCGCTGACATGGAGCTGCTGGGCGCGCGCGAGGTCTTGCTCAACGCCTGGGCCGGCAGAGAGGCCAGTTCTTTGGCCGTTCGACGCCCAGCGTTCCGACGCCTGCGCGCCGGCGTGGATCGCAGGTCGCATGGCCACCCCGTGGAGCCTCGGCGGCAAAAGTCTCCCGCCCGACACTACCGGCGCGCTGCAGACCGTGATGAGCGGCAACGTGATAACGGCGTCCGTCCGGTCAGCATCTCGCCTACGGCCGCCGGAGCGCAATTGCTGGCGGCAGTGACCCTCACCACGGTAAGTAATGCCGATTGACCCGCGGTTTGCCGCTTTGGCAAAGCAGGCGCGGCCCCCCTTTGCCGCCGCCCTCCATGCCCGATCCTGCCGAGCACGTGCCAAAGGCGCGCGCACGCGTGGACCGATGGGACATGCGAGCATCCGTGCGGCCCGCAGCTGGCCAAGGCGGGCGCGGGGTGTCCGCAGGGAGCGGCGCTTTGCCGGACCCGTGGAGATTTGCGGCCCAGTTGATGGCGCCCAGACCGCGCATCAGGCCGAGTTGACCGCAGCGGAGTGGCCCCTGTGCGCGGCGGCGGGCCTGGTGGAGGTCATCACGGACTCGTGATTCGTGGCCAACGAGATCGCGGCAATCCACGGCAAAGCCTACCCGCGCGAGTGGGCGCACGCCGACATCTGGGACCGCCTTGCCGAGCACTGACGCATCGCAGCGGCCATCTCTGGGCGCGGTGGGTCAGGGGACCAGTTTGACGCGGCCGAACCCAGGGAACGCGGCCTTTCTGAGGACTGGGCGGGCAACGAGGCGGCGGACCAGCTGGCCGGAGGGGTTGCAGCTTGCCGCCGCTTGCAGCTTGCCGCCGCCCGCGCGGGTCAGCGACTGCGGCGGCTGCAGGCGCTGGAGGCGGTGCAGCGCATGCTCGCCGCCGTGGAGATGGCCGCGGTGAAGACGAAGCATGGCAGCACCGGCGCTGAAGGCTCGCGTATGCGGCGATGGTGGGTCCCTGCGAGGCCCAGCCACCGCCGCCGCCGCGCGCCCAGCGAAGGGGACGACGCGACCGTCGCGGCCGCGGCTGCGACTCCGGCCGCCCAGGGCACATTTGGTGGGCTTGTTTTCCACCACCACCACCACCATGAGTACGACGGGGAGGGATTCCTCGTCCTCCTCCGCTTCTTGCTCTCCTCCTCCTCATTCTCCTCCTCCTCCCTCCCCCCTCCAACATATCATGGTGGTGGAAAACACGCCCATCAGCGCTTGCCGATGTCCCCCCGGCGCCCGGGTGCGGCGGCCGCGACGCCTTGGCTGGCCTGCATGGTCGCATACAGCTGCTGGGCGTTGGGCTGGGCATGCCTCGCCGGCCGCCCCTGCGCGGGGTGGGCCGCGGCGCTGCCCCCGCGGGCAGCCGGCCTGCTTCAGTGACGCGCGGCGGCTCGCCGCCGGCTGCAGGAGCGCCACGGCCCGCCGGACCAACTGATCCGCATTAGTTCTCGCCTCTCTCTGGGGGCTGGGGCTTTCCTCCAGTTCATCCTTCCTCTCCTGGCCCTCCTCCTCCTCCTCCTCCTCCTCCTCCTCCTGCGTCCTCCTGCGTCCTCCTGTGCCGCTGGGCTTCGTTGGACGGTGGAAAAAGGTGAGACACTGGTCCGAGGTGAAAATCTACACCACATGGGCCCCGGGAGGGATCCAGGTGCCGATTTCGATCGGATTTGGCCTCACCAACCTCTTCTGACCAATTTCCAAAGTCCCAACCAGTTCAGACCCCAGAGCCGCCTCCAAGGAAAAACAAGGGAAGGGCAGGGTATTCAAGGGCGGACTACACACCACAAACATTTCCCCAACAGAAATAGCCAGACTTCCGACCAAGTGTTTTGTTTCTGTTGTTTTTCACTCTGAGGTTCCCAGAAGTCTCGAGCACATCCCCAGGGACAATGTTTCGCCCTGGAGCCGTGCTTGCTGGCCCGATGGCCTGTAAGCGCCCCTGGGCAGCCTAGAAACGCTCGCAATGAACGCGCGCTTGGGCCAAAATGGCCACGGCGCGCATGCACGCGATGATGCAACACGCAGCACGCAACATTCCTCTCACGATTCCCACCTCGCCCGCCCACTCATAAAAGGCACGCGCGCGGGGAGCGACTCCCACATCATGGAGTGGGCGTCGGGGGACGCAATGATTGAGCAACAAAAACACTCCTGTGGATGTCTGGGCAAGAGCAACGACGACTACACATAACAAGAACGCTGGAATTCAGCAAGGACCGACCGACCCGGCATTCCTATAGGCCTATCGGTTGACTACTGCGAAATCTTCGGGAAACCCGACATTGTTGTAAGAGCGCAAGAGATGCTCTTCCCACAAAAGCCCGATTGGCTGAAAGCAAGAAGGTCTCGACCAAAAAGGCTCGAAAGAACTTCCGCACGCAGCGCAAGGCGGCTCTCAGAACATGCCTTTGGTAGGCCCATCGGCAAGTCAGCACGCTTCGCCACTAGAGGCCTCCTAGATGGGGTCGGAGGATCGCACTGCATCGCCAATACATCGCCAATACATCGCCTCGGCGATGCATCGGCGACGTCGGCGTGGAGGAGATCGGACCCCTCATCGAGCCGCATCGCCGATGCATCGGCGATGCGGCGCGATCCTCCGACCTCGTCTACTCCGACCCCGTCTGGGAGGCCTAGAGCCACTGTTTATAGGGAGCCCACGAAGGACGTACGCGCCCAGCTATGTACATGAACACGGCCCCTTGACCCGCGAGACCTGCCGCGCGATACGAACATTCGCGCAATGCGAACGCTCGAAACCAGCGTGGATTCATGTACATGTACATCCTTCTTTCGCTCCTGAGTTTGAGGGGAGGGAAGCCGCCGGGCCGCCACCGCCGCACCTCTTCACCGCCGCGATGACCCGCTTCTCCATGGCGTCCGGGGCGGCGCCGGCGCAGAACCTCGGCGCGCGCGCCGGAGGAGGGCGCCAGCGTACTACAAGTCCCTTATTCATCGACCCCCCCCCCCTCAAAAAACCGGACCCCCCTCCGAATGCGACCTTGTATTCCGGAGCCCCCTCTTCGACGGGGCGCCTGAATAAACGGGACCCGCCTAAACTCCAATCCGAAGAAAGCGCCCTAATAAACCAACCCCCCCCAGCTACAAAAAAGGCGCCCTCAAAAAACCTGATCCGGGGGACGATCAAGAAGGGACTTGGAGCATGCCCGCCAGGGGGGAACAGCGCCAGGGCAGGTTCGTGTCGTGACGACTTCGACGTTGCACCGCGCGGATCATTCAACCTTCAGTGGTCCGCGACTTTTCGATCGACAGATCGTTCCATATTGGCCGATTCTGGGCTCACTGCCAACGTTCAACCTGGCGCTGGGGTCGCTGCCGCGTCGACACGACACGAAGCTGCCGCAGGGAGGGGGACCAGCTCAGGGGGGGAAACATCGACCTGGAATCGGCGATGCATCGCCGACAAATCGGCGACACAATCGTAAACCATGGTCGGGATGCAGGGAGAGTCGGGTCGGGCGAAAGGGGGGGATAGCAAAGGGGGGGGTTGAGAATCAGCTCACGTAGCTGATTTTCCCGGCGCCTCCAGGCGCAGGAGGCGGCTATGTATCAAGGAATGCGGCCCTCGGTGAGGCCGAAACCAGCTGCATGCAGCAGATTTCGTAACCCCCCCTTTCCCAATCCCCCCCTTTCGCCCGGCCCGAGAGAGGATACGAGCTCGGACGTCCCATTTGCCGTGCAGAGCTCCTGGGACGCCAACATTGGCTCAGGAGGGGCCGAAGACGCAGGGATGCAAGGGTCGCCCTGCCGAAGCAGCGCTCTCATACTGTGGATCTGGATTTCGATTGTGGACCCCCGATGGCGAATTCCCACGTTCCTGCGCGGGGCGGGGCATGGGCGACTGGGGGTCAACGCCATCCCCCCCCCCTCGAGTCCATCCCCCCCCTGGCGTGCGACGTCCCCTAAGAAAAAAGGAAGCACTGTGCCGTGAATAAAGATAGGACCAGCTTGCTCCCGGATATTCGGCGGCTTTCTGGGCAGAAACGGTCTGAGGGTCTGGCCGCAAAACCTACGCGACTGTGACGGCGACGGTGATGACAGCAAGACCCCCGGTAGGATACAGGATATGGCCGATCGCGACACCGATCGCGACAGCGAAGCTGATGAGAAAAAACAGATGAAGGAGGGGAGGATGGCTAGGGAAAAGAAGGCTAGGGAAAAGAAGACCACCAGAAGAAAGAGGGAACGAATTGTGATAGGTCTGGTGGAAGGAGGGAGGAGGGAAGGCGAAGAGGAAGAAGAGGAAGACCCATCCTTTTTTACATCCGCTTCGTGGGGAGAGAACGAAAAGAGTGGCGGCGCCACAAGCCAGCACCTGTCCCTCAGACTCTCTCTTCAGAGCGAGAAGGAGAAGGGGCGAGGGGGCATGGAGAGGACGGACGAGAACTAGGAGGGGGAGAGCAGAGGAGGAGAAAGATACTTGGTAGTCCCCCATCGTGGTGGTGACAACACCTGGCGGTGAGTCTCGGGCGATTTGGTGTCACCACCCGGTTTGGGGACTCGTGCGGTTTTCCGAGGATGTCCCGAACGTTGGTGGGTCCAGGAGTCACAAAACCCGGCGGTGACCCCGCGTCCCCAAACCCGGCGGTGACCTTTTTGGGGATTCCAGGTCGCCACCTGGTATCTCACCACCCGGTTTGGGGGTTCCCAAGATACTGATGACGAGTGCCCAGACATCCGGGAGAGCGCGTCCGTGGATCCCCCCTTGGCGCCCCCCCCCCCTTCGACCTCCCCTGCCGGAGGCAACCGCGCCCCCCCATTTTCCTGGTGGGCTTGTTTTCCACCACCACCACCACAAGTAGGAGGGGGAGGGGGTCCTCCTCCTCCTCCTCTTCTTCCTCCTCCTCATCATCCTCCACCTCCTTCCCCCCTCCAATTTATGGTGGTGGTGGTGGAAACAAGCCCATCATGTCCCGCTCCTCGAAAGCTACCCCCCCCTCTACCTGCGCGCCCCAGAAGCTCCCCCCCCCTCTCCCTTTCCAAAGGGGGGGTCTTAGCTACCCCCCCTCATCTCAACCTCCCCTGCCGGACCCCCCCCCAACCCAACCTTTTGTGCTACACCCCCCCGCCCCACCTTCTGTGCTAAGGAGGGGGGCTTGGAAGCCCCACCCCTTTGGCTAAAGGAGAGGGTGTCGAAGACCAAAATGGCGCCGAAAATCAAAAGAGGCGCCGAAAAACCAAAGGGGCGCCGAAAACCAAAGCGGTGCGAACATAAGAGGAGAGCCGAAAACAAAAGAAGCGCCGAGAACCTAAAGAGCGCCGAAAACCGAAGGTGCGCGCAAATTCAAAAAGGGCGCCCGAAACCAAAGGAGCGCCGAAAACCAAAGAAGCGCCGATAAGCACAGGGGCGCCGAAAATCAAAAGGGCACCAACCGTCCAAAAGGACGCCGAAAATCAAAAGAGCGCCAAAAAGCAAAGGGGCGCCGCAACCCAAAAGGCGCCGAAAACAACAAGAAGGCCCAAAGCCAAAGAGGCGCCGAACCCACCCCCTTAAAAAAAGGCTCCGAAAACCAGCGGGGCGCCGAAAACCATAGGGGCGCCGAAAACCAAAAGGGCGCAGACAATCAACGAATGGCCAACCACCAAGAGGGCATCGAACACCAAACGGTGCCGAAAACCAAAAAGAGCACCGAAAACCAAGAAGGGGTCCGAAAACCAAAACGGCGCCGAAAACCACAAAGAGCGCCGAAACCCAAAGGGGTGCCGAAAACCACAAGGGCGCCGAGAACTGAATGAGCGTCGAAAACCGAGAGGGCACCGAAACCAAAGGGGCGCCGAAAACCACGGGAGCGTAGAAAACAAAGAGGACGACCAACAAAAAAAAAGCGCCGAACACAAAAAGGGACACAACAAACCGAAGGTGCGCCGCAAGCCAAAAACGGCGCCGAAAAGCAGAAGGACACCGAAATCCAAAGAGGCGAGCGCCGATAACCGAAAGGGCGTCGAAACCAACGTGCGCCGAAAGCCGAAGGTGCGCCGAAAGCCGACGGGCGCAAACAACCAAGAGGCGCCTAACAACCATATAGCGCCGAAAAACGAAAGAACGCCGAACACGAAAGGGGTGCCGAACACAGAAAAACAAAAAAAAAAAAAAAAAAAAAAAAAACGCCAGCAAAGAGGGCGCCGCAAACCAGAGGGGCGCCAGAACCCAGCAGGGCGCCGAAAACAACAGAAGCTCCGAAGATGGACAGAGCGCCGAAAACAAAAACGGCGCCGAAAACCAGAAGGGCGCCCGAAACTGCAACCGAAAGCCAAAGGCTCGCAGGAAACCAAGAAGGCGACGAAGACCAAAGGAGCGATGAAGAACCAAAAAGGCGCCGAATGACCAAACGAGCGCCGATACCCACAAGGGCGTCGAAAACAAGAGAGCGCCGAAAAGCAAAGGCGCGCCGAAAGCCGAAGGGCGCCGAAAACGAAAGTGGCGCCGAAAACCGTAGAACGCCGAAAAACAAAAGAACGCCGAAAACTAAAGGGGCGCCGAAAACCAAAAGGGCGCCGAAAACGAAGAGGGCGCCGAAAACCAAAAGGGCGCCAGAACCCAGCAAAGCGCCGAAAACCAACGTTGCGCCGAGAACCGAAGGTTGCGCAGAAAACTAAAAGGGCGCCGAAAACCAACGGAGCGCCGAACACCAAAAGGAGCGCCGAAAAACAAAGGGGCGCCGAAAACCAAAGGGGCGCCGAAAACCAAAGGGGCGCCGAAAACCAAAGGGGTGCCAAAGACCGAAGGGACGCCGCAAACCAAAGACGCTCCGAAAGCCATAGAGCCTCCGAAAATCACAAGTACGCCGAAAACCAACGGGGCACCGAAAACCAAACAAGAAAAGTAGCTTCAAAACCCCACCTTCAGCCAGGGCCCTCCAGCTGGAAAAGCCAACAGAAGGAGGGGAGGGGGGAGGTAGCTTCGGAAACGCCCCCGCTTTGGAAAGGGGAGCCCGCACTTACCCCAGGCCCCGAGAAGAGGGGAGGGGGGAAGGGAAGGAGCTTCAAGCTGGGCCCCCCCTAGCTCCGAAATGCCCAAAGAAGGGAGGGGGGGTGCTTCAGGCTGGCGCCCCCCTTGTACCCTTTTACTCAAACTGTGCCACGAGCGCGCTTGTTCAGGCATCTGACGTCTTGTGCGTTTTTCCATGCTGGGTACCCGGAAGTCCCCAGCCTTCCCCCAAGGCTAACTCTCCCTAACTCGTGTTTAGCGGTCCCGCCACCTGGCGAGGGTCCTGGAGGAGGAGGAGGAGGAGGAGGAGGAGGGAGAGGGCAGGAGGAGGAGGAGGAGGAGGAGGAGGCGGAGGCGGAGGCGGAGGCGGAGGAGGAGGAGGAGAGGAGGAGGAGGAGGAGGAGGCGGAGGGCCGAGGATGCGAAGGAGGAAGGCCGAGGAGGCGAAGGAGGAAGGAAAGGGGAGCAGGAGGAGGAGGAGGAGGAGGAGGAGGAGGAGGAGGAGGAGCAGCAGCAGGGAGAGGGAAAAGGAGGTGGAGGAAAAGGAGGAGGAGGAGGTGGAGGAGGCAAGAGAATGAGGAGGCAATGGTTGAGGCAGAAGGAGGAGCAGGCAAGAGGAGAAGGAGGACGCAGGAGTAGGTGGGAGAAGGAAGGGGGCAGGAGGAGATCCCCAGGCAATTTAACCCTATTCTCACGCGGGTTCCTACCGTCGGAGTAATTGTGGAAATGTGACGATGATAACTTCTTGGGGCCCTCACGGGCGGCCTCATGGAGCCCGCTTTGGGCGTCTTGGGATGCTCTTGGCTCTTCTTGGCGCGTCATGGAGCGCTTGCTGGGCGTCTGGAGCGGTCTCGAGCCTGTCCTGGCGGCCTCCGGAAACGTCCGAGAATCTCCAGGTCCCCGTCCAGGAGCCCTTCGGCAGGCCGGAGCTCCCACGCCACGCCGTGGCCGTGGTTTGCCCGCCGTGTTCCAGCATCTCAATCAGTATCTGCATCTGCATCTGTATCTGATCATGCATGTAAGTTTGTGTATGTGGCATCTGGACTGCACCTGCATCTGATTATGCATCATTACCTGCATCAGTATCTGCATCTGTATCTGGATCGCATCTGAATCAGTAGATGTATGTGCAGCTGTACAGGCATCTGCATCTGATTGTGTACGTATGTCTGATTTGCACCTGGGCGCCTCCTGGAGGCGGCGCCCTGTGTTGGGGCTCTCCCGGGGGCGCCTCGGGACTTCTTGGGCGGTCTGGGAGCCTTCTGGGGCTCTCTTGGAGTGTGGGGAAGCCGATTCGGCGAGAACCCGAAACAAAAAAATCAATGCATGGGGCGGATCCATGAATCTTGGCTCCGAGGGTGGTCTGAGGAGCGCTCGTGAAGATCTACCGGGGCATCCTGGAGGCCACGGGGACTGGCAGTCTTGGGAACCTGTGGGGCCGCCTTGGCGGCCTCTGGGGCTCCCAAAGGAGAGAGAGAGAGAGAGAGAGAAAAAAAAGAGAGAGAGAGAGAGAGAAAGGAGAGAGAGAGAAAATAGAGAGGTAGACAGACAGAGCGACAGCAACACAGAGACAGCGAGAGAGAGAGAGAGAGAGAGCTCTTGGGGTGTGTTGGGGTGCTCTGGGGCCTCTTAGGCAGCGTTGGGGGGCGACCCTGGGCGCCTCTTGGGCCGCCTTGGAGCGTCGGAGCGCCGAAAAGGCGATAACGCCCAGGTCCTTCCAAACTTTACACAGAATCAAGGAACTGTGCTTCTCGTGGGGGACTCTTGGGGATCTCGTGGGGCTTCTCTTGGAGGCCTCTTGGGGCCTCTTGGCAGCTTCTCGGGGGCCTCTTGGATCTTCCCTGGGAGGCCTTCGGGGCCTGAGGGCTCGGAATGTCCACTTGGGGCTCCCGTCCGGACCCCCTCGTGGGGCCGCTGTGGCGGCCTCTAGG